CGAACTAAATCGAACGACGACGCGCTGCCAGCTTGCAGCTGACAGTGAGCGACCTACCGTGCGTGCCTTTTTCGAGGATGGTTGAAAGACGGCCCCCGTTGGGACGGGAACCCACGGTTACATAGTGAGCACGCGACCCCTGGGGATCGACGGTCCGCGCGCAATCCCAGCCGAACCCTTAGGGAACCGACGGTCCCGCGCGCAGTCCCGCGCACAATCCCAACCGACCCCCTGGGGTCCGACGGTCCGCGCGCAGTCCCAGCCGACCCCGTTGGGAGCCGACGGTCTCGCGCGCAATCCCAGCCGAACCCCTGGGTCGAATAACAACAATGAAGGCCGGACCAGCAGGTCCAACAAAACAGTTCGAGGTCTCAGGCCCTCAGGTCCAGAGAACGAGAAAGGGACTCAAAACAGTGTCGGACCAGGCCAAGCCCACAGGGCCAGAGCTCAACGACGCAGCGCTCAACTCACGAGTTCCTTGAAACTGTGCTGAGTCTGACGAGGCGGCGGGAGGACAGCGGCAGCGCCCGCCGATGCCTGCGAAGGCCCAGCCACCTCCTGAGGCCTATGAAGAACGGGTTCGACCGCAGTCCGAAAGTCTCCAGCACTCTGACGATCCATCGCGCCCCCAGGGCCCACCGCACTCCGACGACCCACCCCGCTCCGAAGGTCATCGGCGCCCCGACTATCGTCCGCACTCAACTAATCCCAAGCACTCCGACGATCCGCCGCGCGTCACTGCCCGAGAACTCGGCTCTGCCGATTTCCATTCGGCAAGGGCGACGCTGAACCCGTTGACGGCTCGAGGAGCACCGCCGCGGGATTTGCGATCTGACGCCTTGCCTCGGTGCCATAGCGAGAGGCGTGCGTTCTGATTGGCGACGACAGCCCCAGCAGGGCGACATCAGGCGTCAACGACCCCCTGTCATGCCATCAGCCCCCGACGGGTCGACATCAGACGTCGAACTGCCCCCTGTCCTGCCATAAGCGCTCCCTCGAGCACCAGCACTCTGACGACGACCACCTTCCGACTTCGCACCGCGAACAGGTCGATGGCGAGCTGGAAGATTCTCTCGGTATTTGATCCCGGCGCTATCCCCACCGTCAGCTATCCCCCATCTGAGTCACGCGAGCGATGAAGACCTCAGTCAGCACGGCGTCCGCCAAAGAGAACGCTATCGTCGCCTGGCCTTCCCTGAAGGCGAGAGACGCGCGAAAACCCCTTTCACAAGACGACTGGACTCTGTGAAGTCCGTGGCTGCGTACAGTTTGGCCTGCTGCTCCTGCCAATTCTTTGGATTCGCCGCGCCCACCGCCATACGTGCCTCTGGGATCTTCTTGCACGCTACGAGGAAGATCTGAACGCATGCGGGACCCGTGTCGACCTCTGGGAGCGGCTTCGACGGGTCCTTTGCGTTCACCTCTGTCATCTTGGCCGCCTGTAGTATGGCGTACGCCCTGCCGTCCTGGAAGCCCGCGACCACTACTGGAGACGACTCGTCTACCAGCATCGTCTGATGCTCGGCCGACGCCAAAACACGAATCTGGTATGACTGCCCCAGCACCGCACGCATCAGCACGGGAAACAGCTTCGCCATCTGCTGCATGTCCATGGGAGGGAGCTTCTCGATGACATCCTGCGGTAGGCCGTAGGCTTCGCCGATCTCCACCGCTGCTCCTCCGTTGGCGCCTCGCTGCTGGGGCTGCGCGGCCTCGAGGTTCGACGCTGCCGCGCCGTGGCCCTCTCTGGCGGCCGCCACGCACTCGGGAGGCTGCTGCCGAGCCAGAGCGGTCTCGTCCCCTCACTCGAGGTTGGGATGCTCCCCTTCCTTCTGAGCGCGATCTGGCCTCCTGGATCTGCTCGTCGGAGGGGCGGAACATCAGCGCGCGAGCGTATTGTCGAATATCTGGGCTCACGGGGGACGTGACTGCGGAGGTGCCGAGTGAGCTCGGGCAGCGTGCCGCAAGGATGCTCAGCCAAACAGCCCAAAACGGTACAGTCGCCACCGAACACCGATCTGACCGTGAGAGAGGCGAACGGGCACTCTAGCGATTCGGGCTGGATGATGGGGTGCTTGAAGGGAGGCCTGAGCGAAACGCCTCCCCGTCATAGTGGCCTGGACCAGGTGCTCCTGAGCAACCCTACGAGTCCTGAAAGTCTGCAGGCAGAAAATGCACTGGTTGGCCACCGTCGCTGTGCGAACCACCGATCTACAAGCATGCCCCTCTCCCATGGAGAACCTCTCGTGAAAAAGCAGAGCCCTCCTCGTACTGAACAAATGGAGGAGGGAGGAGGCGGAGGAGGAGGGGGGTTCTCAGAAGGGCCCAGGTGCTTCTCAAGAAGGCTGTCTATAAGCCAGGACGGCTTCCTAGAAGCCCGTCACCTTCTGCCACACCCTCGCGCCACCCCCTTGCTGGAGGACGCCAACGCTACATCTGCGCCGATCCTGGACCGGCCCACTCTGGGCCCAGTATCGGCCTGTATGCCCTCTTGGCTTGGACAGGAAGGCAACATACAGTGGAGGCCAGTCCACAAGAAACCTTCCACAAGAAACCCAACCCTCAGACCCCAGGACGTCCACTGATTGTTGGTGTGGGAACGTGACGCTTTCCATCGCAAAAACCAAGAAACCCAAGAAACCCATGCAGGGCACCCTGGACGCAAGCATAGTGTTTCTTGGCCTGGGTCTCCATTGTATATGATCCCGGGTCGAGGGCTCACAGGCTCCCCCGCCCTCCCAAATGGGTCCCAAGGTTCCACAGGCCTCCCCCAAATGGGATGGGGGACGACGACGACGACGACGATGACGACGACGATGACGACGGGGGGGCCGGTCCCATCCGCGAGGCCTTCGCGAGGCTCACGGGCGTACTCATCCAGCGGGGGGTGGGTGGGTGATCCCATCAACATTGGGGTGGAGGGGGTAGGGGAGGGTGGCCATAGCCTGGGATCATACCGACACACACATAGAGTTGCTCACACATAAATATATCAACATATGCATAAACATGTACATACACATCTTCGTATCTGTCTAGATATATGGATATGTCTATGTCCATATATGTTAAACTGATAGACACATGTATGTGTACACTGTATATGTATACAGATATGTGTGTACACTGTATATGTATACATATATGTGTATGCGAATATGTGTATGTGTATGTATATGTATATGCATGTGTAGGTGAACGCATGCATGCATGCATGACAATGTGTATGTACGTAGATTGAGATGTAGGTATACAGGTAAGTAGGCATGTCTGTTTGTATGCATGCATGCATGCATGCATGCATGCACGAAATCATGCATGTCTGTACGTGCATGTGCGTATGTATACGTATATATATATACACATATGTTTGTGTAGATGTAGATGTACATGTACATGTTGTATAGGTGTATGTATGTGTGTCTGTTTGTCTGTCTGTCGGTCTGTGTCTGTCTGTCTGTCTGTCTGTCTGTCTGTCTGTCTCTGTATGTGCACACGTATATATATATATATATACATATATATATATATGTATATGTATACCGACCCCGGGGTCAGGATCGGTCCATACTGCGCCCCCCTGGCCTTGACAGGGAGGCATCTGCACACCGACCCTGGGGCCAGGGTCAGCGCGGGCTAGCTGACGCCCTCCGACCTCGTGCGCCCCGCGGGGGCCGCCCTACCAGTGCCGCGGCGGCTTCGCAACCCACCGCGGCGCGGTCGGCCTCTCGCTCGGCTGCCAGCCCGCCGCCTCGGGGAGGGGGGGGGCGGTGGCTGCCGGCCTCGAGGGCCGCTCGGGGAGCTCCGAGGTGGCGCGCGAGGCACGCGCGGAGGGTGACGAAGATTGCGATGACGACGACGACGGCGACGACGACGACGAAGACGACGATCGAATGCTCCATTGTACGATGTCTTCGCCGTGTGAGCCCGATTATCCGCCGCCGTGCCCTGAGGCACGAATTTGATGAGTATCCTCAGGTCTAGTTGAGTTCTCTGGATTGAGTCATGAAAGATTCTTTGAGGGGCCCACAGCTCACAATTCTGGGCGTCTTGGGCGCTCCCGCGCGTTACTGGGCGCTCCCAGGGGGGTCCCCGCGTGACCTTTCCAGAGACCAAGACACGCATAGCCAACATGGTTTTAGATGCAGACGACGCCAGAATTGCATCAGCATCAAGGTCGCCGAGGCGACGCAACATTCGCGAATTCGCCAAAATGCGTTCCCGCGCGACCTCGTGCGCCGACTGGGGATCGACACGATGACGATGACGATAACAACGACGACTACGATAACGACGATGACGATGACGACGCTGGGGATGACGACGTGGAGGAGTGGGGAAGGAGTCGGTCGCGCCACTGGCGCATCACCCCAAAGGGCCTGAGGGTCTAGAGGCCTCCTAGATGGGGTCAGAGTAGATGGGGTCGGAGGATCGCGCCGCATCGGTGATGCATCGGCGATGCGCTGGCGCTGCATCGGCGACGCCGGCAATGCATCGGTGACGTCGACGTGAAGCAAATCGGGCTCCGCAGCGAGCCACATCGGCGATACATCGGCGATGAGGCGCGATCCTCAGACCCCATCTACTCCAACCCCATCTAGGAGGCCTAGAGGGTCGGAGCGTGGTCGCAGGAGCGTGGGTCAGGAACATGATGCTCCCTCGCCCAAGGCCGCGTGGTGGTAATCCGAGGCGCGCTCCAGGGTGGAAGACACACGCGCGAACGATGTGAGGGTAACCTCAACCAAAGCCGGGCTTGCTCCCAACCCTCGTGCCAACCGTGGAGTAGAGTTAGGGTGCAAGCTCAGAGCTGGAGGTAAACTGCGTTCTGAACTGGCACCCTCGAGACGGGAGTAGGGGGATGAGGAAGCTGAATTAGAGGCGCAGGGGGAAACAAGAGGTGGGAGGAGGGTGGAGGATGAGGGGCGGGAGGAGGAGTCTGAGGATGATAGTGATGATAAAAAAGGGGGGCAAGGATGATGAGGATGATCATAAGCAGGAGGGGGATGAGGAAGAAGAGGGCGCGAGGGCCGCAAGACTTCAAATATCGAAGAGGATAAATCAAAGCGTGACGTTGATGACGCGAGAACGTACAGTCAAACGAAGGAACAACTGGCCCGATGCGAGCAATGATGACATCGGACATTATGTACGTAGCGCGCAATCATGCAACTCGCAACTTCCTGCTGCAATCATGAAGCTATGTAGCGTAGCAGTCATGCAACTTCCTGCTGCAATCATGAAGCTCGCTCGCATTAGCAAAGGTAGCGACTCAGCATCATCGCGCTGCGCCTGGTCCTCGGCTTCATGCTTCTTCCACCACACAGTGGGAGGGTGCCTCCACCATATTCTCCGTCTTTCCCTCTCTCTCTCTCCGTCTCTCCCTCTCCCTCTCTCCCTCTCTCTCTCTCGCGCCCGCAATCACTCAGACCAATCAGCGAATGCACTACAGAACGCAGCCAGCCGTCCAGCCCGCCAGAGCGCAGATGTTACGTGGGAACGCCGAGGGGGGGGGGGGCAGAGCAGCACCGAAGCTCGGTGCCCACGCCGCCGTACTCACGAGCGGCCCCCCCAAAAACATAAAGAAATTATTGACTCTGGAATCATGCAGCCGCACGAAATCCTGCCCGGGTGCGTGTGGAATCCCGTTTCGCCGGACCTCCCGAGGGGGGCTCTGAAGGTGGAGAGGTGTACACATTTAGTAGCATACAACCTCGCGATGTCCCGCCTGAATCCGCGTGGGACGCTTGCCCGCTGGACTCCAGAGGAAATCAATTCTTGGCGGAGGTTCCACATACAACAACACCCGAAACAAACAGAACAAAAACGATCCACCACTACCACCTGGGGATGTCAACTTTTGCTCAATTGATAGATGAAGACGTACAAGATGCCCCGCGTAAACTTCCAAAAAGGCACATGCCACTACAATTCATCTCCACATTGCCCCCTCCAGATGGTGGACGGTGGAAATGCCCATTCTTCCGACCAAAGAGGTGCCAGGATCCAATTGAATCTCTGTACGACGCCTCTCCCCTCTCTGCGCAGTCCTCTCCCCCTCACGCATCTTCCACTCTTCAGAGCGCCCGTGGGTCAGCGAACGCGCACCTCTGCCAGTCCTTTGCGTCGCACCACACCAGCCGATCCGAGTGCTCCTCTGCCGAGGGAGGTGGCGCGGGAGGGGGAGTGGGGGGGGTGGCAGGGAGGAAGGCGAGGGCGGGAGGGGGGGGGGCGGCGCGGGAGGGGGGGAGAGCTGGGGACGAGGCCAGGCGACCTCAGCGCCTGTCCGCAGGACTGCTGCTGCTCCTCGCTGGCCCCCCCGGGCGCCTGGCGGGGACGGGCCGGCTCGTGCCCCCCACCTTGCCGTCGCTCGGACGTCCACTCCCTGTGCGTTCTCCGGTTCTGCGCGTATGTGTTTTTCTCGCTCGATGGAATCCAGGATGCTCTCCGATGGTCCTCGCCGAGAAAAGATGCACACGTCCGAGCGATGCCAAGCCATACGCTGGCCCTCAAAGCGGAGCCGCGGCCCGAATCCGGTTGCAGATTGGGACGGCTCGCGGCCCACGGGGCCACTCGCAGGTGCTTCCGCCTGCATCGCTGGGCCTCGGCCTCTGGAGGCGCTCTGGGCCTCCCGCGAAGCCCTGGGGTCACCTCGAGCTGTGGACACTGTTTGTTCCGAGCCAAAGCAATCCTCGCGGCCATGCTTGGTTGATAGGTCCTCTGCCCCCCCCCCCCCCAAAAGCATCTGCACCCCCCCAAAAGCGTCTGCTCGTGCCGTGCCTTCTGCCCCTGGAGGAGAGGGGGGCGAGCGGAGGGCGGGGGAGGCGAGCAGGAAAAAGGCGAGAGGGCGCGCGCGGCGCCTCGACGAGGTGCTCCGGTGTACGCTCGTGCCGCGTCCCCTTCCTCCAAAGAGGCAGGGACGGGGGAGTTTTTTTGTTGTGACCTTCGCGGCCAAGGCCCCACACTCAGATTGGGCAAAAAGGGAGGGCTCGAGAGAAACCCCGACCTTCTTCGGGTTGAGTCCTCTCCCGAGCAAGGACGGGTTGAAGAGGAGGGGGTGGGGAGGAGGGCGAGCAGATGAGGGCTGGTGGCGCGAAATATCCTCGAGGAAACACTCCCAGTCGTCGCCCCACCAGTAGGTGTCCGCCGCCTCTGGGCGGGGCGGGACAGGTCGGGTGAGCGGCACCGTGCCTCTGTGTTGCTTCCCTGCTTTCCTCTGCCGTGCCCGTGCGGGCGGAAGGGAGCGAACGAACAGTACGGGGGGAGGAAAGGAGAGTGTGAGAGGAAATCGTGATAGGAAACAACGAGGCGAAGAAACATATGCTTGACACGGGGGCAGGAGGACCAGTGTGCAGACAGACGATGAGTGACGACGGACGGGCGCTGTGAGGATGATAGTGACGAGGGATGGTAGCAATCAGGCCGATTATCTCCCGCTTGCAATAGACGACATGTGGTTATCCCTCAGCCAATATACAATCTGCCCCGCGCCTGCTTTAAAGTAAGTTCGCTCGTCAGCAGTTTGCTAGCAGGCTGCCTCTGCTGTACCTGCTGTGCCTGGTAGTAATTAAACTGGCTTCTGCTAACCAACTTTTGAGTTCAATATTCCTCCTCCTCCTACTCCTACTCATCCTCCTCCTCCTCCTCCTCCCCTTCTTCCTCACTTCGCGCACGCGCGGCTCCCATTCGCAGGCCTGGTCATGTACTATAGCGAAGCTCGTGGTGATGCCTTTGTTGTTCCACTGGTTGCATCGCCATTCAGTACCTGGGGACGTTCTCAGACAGCGCGACGCTGTGCCGAGCTCGCGCTGTCAATGTCGCGTTGCTGCTTCTACGCCCCACTTTCCTGGTATCATCCTCCTCCTCCACCTCCTCCTCCCGCAATCTCGTTCTCCCCAATCTCTGTCCATCTCTCCCTCCTTCCCCCTCCCCCCTTCCCCTCCTTCTCTCCTCCCCCCTCCTCCCTCCCCCTCCTCTTCCCTCCCTCCCCCCTTCCTCGTCTCCCTCCCTCCATCCCTCCTCCCATCCTTCCCTCCCCCCCTCCCTCTCCCTCCTCCCCCCCTTCCCCCGTCCTCCTCCCTCCTCCACCCCCTCCCTCCTCCCCCCTTCCCCTCCACTCGATTTTGCACAGTAGCATTCCATATGCGAGCTCGCTATTGCTCGTCCGTGTATGTCGTGCTACTGTGGGCAATCTCGTGGTATACCGCGCCCTCCCCATCCCTGGCCCCCCAAAAAAACGGGAGCACCCGAGTGGGTCCCCACCCCCGTCACCAAAGGGGCCCCCCTAAGCGTTGGGGTTATGGTCCCGGGTCCCTAATCATGAAAAAGCGTCAGATACTTAACTGAAGTATGCTTGGGAAAAGTCTTGCAGGTGCGGCCTGGCAGGGGTGGCAGGGGGAGGACAGGAAGAGGAAGAGGGGGGGCTAGGCGGGGGGCGGTTGTGGATGACGCCCTGGTGGCCGTGGAAGGCGGCGCGGTGGTGAAGTCGTAGTAATCGGAGTGGCGGTGGTGGCCGTCGGCGCTGTGGCAGTCGCGGCGATTATCGCTGTGCTGCCGTCGTCGAGCTGCTGGGCTTCAGGCGCTAGTATTGGCGGTGGTTGGGGTGGTCGGCGTCAGGGGTCGGTGGGGTTGAAAGTGGTGGCCGTGATCGTGGTGGGCGTGCTGGTGACCGTGGTGGCACTGGTGGCAGTGGGCAAGGTGGTAGTCGTGCTGGGGCTGCTGGTGGTGGGAGCTGCGGAAGCAGCCAGCTGCCCCTCACCGCCCCCGGGCGCCCAGGATCATCTCCGCGCTCCCGTGTTGGAGGGTGCGTGTGATGTCGGAGCGATCGGCGTCATTGCGAGAGGCACCGTAGCTCCGAACGCAGCTCGCTGCTTCGCTGGACGGCCGCCCTCCGGTTTCGAAAAACATTGGGACTAGATGGGAGCCCTCCCGGGGGGGGGTAGCGGTCGCATTTGTCCTCGACCATCTGGGGCGCTGCGAGCCCATCTCGTTCCGCTCGGGCGTGCCCGCGAAGGGGAGCAATTAGGTAGAGCGCGCGCAGGTCACCGCCCAATCAATGAGGATGGGTCGGCCAGTGCTGGGGTCGTGCGTCTGGGTGTCCAACTTTGCCTCCTGAAGGGTCCAAATCTGGGAAAGAGCGTGTTCTACCGCTGCTGGCGGAAAACCGGGGGGGGTCACTACCGGTTCGAACCCCTCCCCCCCCCCTCTGGAAAACCGGGGGGGGGGTCACTACCGGTTCGAACCCCCCGCCCCCCCCCAGCTCATCATGAAAAGGGGGGGGGTCACTACCGGTTCGAACCCCCCCCCCTCGAACTAGAAAGCCGGGGGGGGTCACTACCGGTTCGAACCCCCTCCCTCCCCTCGAAAACCGACGGGGGGGTGCGGACAGTGGTGGGGGGGACGGTGGTGGTGGGGACAGTGGTGACGGGACAGCGGGACAGTGGTGGGGACAGTGGGACAGTGGTGGGGATGGTAGTGGTGGGGACAATGGTGAGGACAATGGTGGGAACATTTGGGACAGTGGTGGGGACGGTGGTGGTGGGGACAGTGGTGTGGGGACAGTGGGGATGTGGTGGAAACAGTAGGACAGTGGAGGGTACAGTGGTGGTGGGGACAGTGGTGAAGGCGGTGGCGAGGACGGCGGTGGGACAATGGGACACAGGTGCAGTGGGGACAGTGGTGGGGACAGTGGGGACAGTGGTGGCAACAGTGGGACAGCTCAGTGGGACAGCGGAGGGGTCAGTGGGACAGTGGGGCCAGTCGTGGAGAAAGTTGGGAGAGTGGAGCCGTGGTGGGAACAGTGGTGGGGACAGTGGGGACAGTGCGACAGTGGTGGTGGCACTGGTGGGAACAGTAGGGCGGGTGTGGAACCAGTGGGACAGTGGTGGTGAGGACAATGGTGCTGGGAACAACAGTGGGGGATGTGGTGGGGACGGTGGCAGGGACCCGGAGTCGTTTGCTGGCGGTGAGAGGGGGGATGGGGAGGGGTTCGAAACCGGTCGTGACTCCCCCCCCTCCGGTTTTCGAGGGGGGGGTTCGAACCGGTAGTGGCCCCCCCGGTTTTTGAGGGGGGGGGGGGGGGGAGGGGTTCGGGGAGGGGGCGTTTGCCGAGGGAGAGGGGGGGGTCCAGCCGGGGAGGGATTTTCGGGGAGGGGGGGGGGGGGGGGGGCGGTTCCGGAGGAAAAGGGCGGCAATGTTTCACAGTAAAGCGGCGGTGGATCACGCTCTCTCCAATCTGGGGATTGCGGCGGTCCCACGCCGACACCCTATGTTCCGTTGGCGCAGCGTGGCCCGCGATATCCGGACGCATAGCTGCATGTCGGTCACGGAAGCGGTCGTGCCGAGCAACGCGGGATTGGCCCACCTCGCACGACTTGGCATAGAGACCGCGTGGGCAGACTGGCGCGCGGAGCCGGCGCATGAGGCTCACCTCGAACAGGTCGTTTTGCCGCGCAGGATCCCCCAATTGCCGTGGCTGGAGAAACGCGTTTTCTGGGAGCTCCCGCAGCAACCGTTCATTGTTTTCCTGGGGGCCGCCTTGCTCCACGCGCCCTGGAGCTCAACGCGGGGCTCCTGGAGACAATAATGGGCCCGTCGATGGGCTCTCCGTCTGTCGCCCCCAAGGCTTGCGGCGCCTGCTCGGCCCGGGTGAGCGCTTGCGCTGTTCGCGGGCACCGCGTCGGGTATCCCTCCAGCGTGCGCGCGTTCGGGCGCTTGGCCGCGTCGTAGAGGCAGGGCGCCTGGCTCGCGGGGTTGGCTGCTGGCGCTGTCTGGGCGGCGGACGCGGGGTGGCGCGCCCTCCGTCGGCGAGGCGCATGGTGGCCTGCAGCCTCTGGGGTTCGTCCAGTTGGCTCCCATGAAGTAAGTGTTCGAGGGCCGAGAACGCCGCCGCGTCGAGCTGCCCACCCAGATGCTTTGCAAATTGGCTCGCAGGTGGTGGGCGGCGCAACTCTGTGAAGGTTCTCAGCAGAGTGAGGTGGGCCCGAAGTCCAGCCCCTCGCAGTTCTCGGAGTCGCCGAATGAAGGTCTGCACCCGCTGCGCTGCCGCCGCTGCGTCTGCCCCTGCGCGCGCTGCCGCCCTGTCTTCCCGCTGGTCTCATCATGACGCTGCGTTGCCCGAACAGTTTGACGTGTCTACCTTGGGCGCGCGGATAGCTCGTGGGAGGTCGCTCTCTCGGTCCAGTGGCCGCGCTTGGGTTTTGTTCCGGTTGACCGTCGAGCCGCGGTTGGCGAGAGCGCCCGCCGCAAGTCGCGCCGCCCCAGCTGCTTGCTCAGGGGGCGCGAGAACCGCGAAGTCGCCCAGGTTGGAAAACACCCTGCAAGCAGGCAGGAGCTGCTGGAGCCCCTGGGGGGCCGCGGCCAGACAGTCTGCGGCTGCAATCGCGAGGAACGCGGGCGAAAGCGGGCAGCCATGGTCCGCGCCTGCGGTAATCGTAACCGGCCGTGCCGCGTTGCCAGCGCCGTCCCAGCGCAAGCGCTTGGCCCCCCCGACCAACGGCGCGCGGTGCGGAGGAAACCGGGCGCTTGCGTTCAGTGCCCGTGAAAGATTCGGGCCCGCGGGGGGCTGTTGCGCGCGCTGGGGCAGTCGAAGGCGAGGGCGACGCCTCGTATATTTGCTTCGGCGAGGGCGGACATGCACTCGTGCATCATTTCGCGCCCGGCTAACTTTCCCACTGCGCATAGGTGCGGCCCGCGTGCTTGGCTCATCTCCTCTATGTAAACCTCGCCCCGCGCGCGATGGGCCGCGGGCCTCCAGTCTTCTTTCGAAGCGCCGCCGGCCGCGCTCCGAGGTTGGCCCCGGCGGCCTCTGCGCGCGGGCCCCCGCGCAGAAGACGCGCCGCGACTTTGGCAACTGCGTCGAGCGCCGCGCTGTCGACGAAGAGGGTGCGCCAGTGCTCGGAACTGCCGCCGCTTGGGCCTGGCCCCGACCGCCGCGGGCTTTTTGGCCAAGCTCGTCCTCGCTGCGGCTAGTTACCGGGTCGCCCAGCGTGGCTAGGTCTGGAAGGTTCGGGGCCAAGCCTCGGTCAGCCTGTGCGCCCGCGGCGGGGAAGAGCTGCTGGGGCTCTGCCTGGGCCCCCGCTTCCGTGGCCAGCGCGGCCGGGCTGCTGCCGCGAACCATAGCTTTGCTTATCAAATGATCCCTGGCGAGATTTTCCGAAGCTTTCGCGGCGGAAGTTGGCCCGGGCGGCCGACGCGCTGGCGACGGTGCTCCGTCCGCTGCGGCGAGCGCCTTCCTGGCGAACTCACCCCGGTCTCCTGCCTTCGCCATCCTGATCAGGCGGGCAAGGGTGCTGGCCAGCCTCCCGGTAATCCCGCCAGCCCTCTGGGCGTCGCTGGTTTAGGGGGTTTCCTCTTCCACCCCTCCTTCTTCCCCTTCGGGGAGGGGTTTACCCCGTCCCCCTGCCCCCTCCCCATGGACCTGGACAGGGGGTTCCGCGAGCCGTCGGAGCGTCCAAAACAGCCTCGGCGAGGAAACCAAAATCATTGGTTTTACTGAAGGTTTGGCTCAATTTTGGCCTCCTGAGGGGGGGCCTTAATTGCAGGCCCCCCTGCTGTGATCGATCTCACCCAAGGTGGCCCAAAGATGGCCCCCAAGGGGGCCCCAACAGGTGGCCACGAAGGCCCAAGAGGCCCCCAGGATGCCCCCAAGAGGCCCCCAAGAGACCCCCAAGAGACCCCAATCGACCCCCAGTGGCACCCAAGATGCTCCAGGAGGCCTCGGCGAGAATGCCGAATCATTAATTTACAAAGGTTTTAATCACATGTTGGCCTCTTGGGGGGGACTGATTAAGATGGCTCCAAGAGCGCCTAGGGGAACCCAAAATGACCTCCAAGATGGCTCAAGATATCCCAAGATGTCTCATACTGGCTTCCTCTGCGTGCTGCCCACTTCCCTAATCGAGGCAATTCCTTCGGGCATCGTTTCTGGATGGGCTGATGGGGATTCGCGAAGCGTCAATAATTTCCGCTTTCTGGCTGCCGCGCTGTTTCGACGACTTGAACGAGACCGCTCTGTCGAAAAAGGTGAACAACTTGTCTGCCCGCTGTTGGGCCCGGGCGTCCCCGTGCTCCAGGGCCTCCAGAAGCGTCCTGGCCCCGCAGCTGGGCCAGGGTCCCCGCTGCCCCCCGGGGCGCATCTGCGACCGTCGGCGCGGAGTCTTCCGAGGCGTCGTAGGACGCGTTGACCCACCAGGCCAAGTGCTGGGTCTGTTGGCGATCGACCTCTTCCCGCTCCTCTGGCGGCCCCCCTTGGGGCGCCGTCGTCTGGGCCCGAGAGCGGGGCTCCCAGCGCAGCCGCCTCGACGTGTTTGCCAAATTCTACTCTGGCCCTCTTTGCGCGACGAGCGCTCTCCAAATGCTCCGCTCTGGACGGCCTTCTGGCAGATTCGCGGGCGTCAGCGCCGCCGCGTCAGCGCCGCCGTGTCTTGCGCCCTCTCGCGTGGACCCGAGCCCCCGTCTATCCACCGCAAGCAGAAGCGCTGAAGGGTAGCCAGTACTGGGCTGAAAGCTCGGAGCTCGCCTTTGCCAATGAGGCCTCGGCGCGGGCTCGCCCGGCAGAGGCGGCCCCGGCCGGGAGATATGACATCCGCCGCCCGCATCGCCACCGAGGACTCCCAGCCCCCCCTCTCGGTGGTCGGGGCTGCGGGCGCGGGTCTGGCGGCGGCGGTGGGCCGCCCTGCTCTGGCAGCTGGTCTGGGCGCAAGGCGGCGGCAGGGAACGCCGGTGAGATCGCCGCTCGCGTCGTCAGCGCGCAGTGCCCAGGCGCCAGAGCTGGCGTGAAGGGCGTGTATGGCTCGGGTTCCACGTGGCCCCCAGCGTGAGGGCACGACGCAATGGGCGGTCGACGTGGAAACCCGACGCCGCGGCCCACGCGCAGGCGCGAGTCACGGTAATCTGCCCGAGCCCGCCATGGACGCAAGCCCCGTAGCACAAGAAATCCAAAGGTGCGGCGCTCAGGCACGCCGCTAACTAAGGTCACCATGGCGGGGTGCACCGGCCCCTGGACGAGTGGGCCAACGAGGTTCTGGGCCAGGGCCGCAGCAGAGATGCCTCCCGCGATGCGCGGGGCCCCGGCGGCAACGTGACCATCGCTGAGGGCGCAGCGGAGAGGGCCCCGTGGATGCACTCCAAAGCCCTGCTGACGCCCGCATGTGCTCGCGGCCATGGGGCGCGCTGCTCGGACATGCAACCCGGGCTTGAGGTCGTGCCCCTTGCTCCCGTGGCCAGAGCTGCGCGCGACCGCACGTGGAAGAGGTATAACAGGAGCTGCTGGTGACGGTCGTAGTCGTGACTTTCGTGGTGCTGCTCTCACTCGTAGTGCCCACCGACGTCCGACGTGCTCAACAGAGTGGTGCTGCTGGTAGCAGTGGTAGTCGTGACTGTCGCGGTTCTGCTCTCGCTCGCACTGCCCACACACGTGCTCGACAGAAAGCAGTTGGTAGCGGTCGTAATCGTGGCTCCCGTGGTGCTGCTGTCACTCGTACAGCCCACCGACGTGCTCGGTTGAGCGGTGCTGCTGGTAGCGGTCGTAGTCGTGACTCTCGCGGTGTTGCTCTCACTCGTACTGCCTACCGACGTGTTCGATAGAGTGGTGCTTCTGGTAACGGTCGCAGTCGTGACTTTCGTGTTGATGCTCTCACTCGTACATAGTGCCCACCGACGTGCTTAACAGAGTGGTGCTGCTCTCACCCGTACTGCCTTCCGTCGTGCTTGACAGGGTGGGCTGCTGGTAGTGGTCGAAGTCGTGACTTTCGCGTTGATGCTCCCACTCGTAGTGCGCACCGACGTGCTCAACAGAGTGGTTTTGCTGGTAACGGTCGTAGTTGTGACTCTCGTGGTGCTGCTCTCAGTCATTCTGCCCACCGACGTGCTCGACAGAGTGGTGCTGCTGGTAGCGGTCGTAATCGTGGCTCTCGTGGTGCTGCTGTTACTCGTACTGCCCCCCGACGTGCTCGGTTGAGTGGTGCTGCCCTCACTCGTACTGCCCGCCGACGTGCTCGACAGACTGGTGCAGCTGGTAACGGTCGTAGTCGTGACTCTCGCGGTGCTGCTCTCACTCGTACTGCCCACCGACGTGTTCGACAGAGTTGTGCTGTTGGATACGGTCGTAGTTGTGACTCTCGTGGTGCTGCTCTCAGTCATTCTGCCCACCGACGTGCTCGACAGAGTGGTGCTGCTGGTAGCGGTCGTAGTCGTGACCCTCGTGGTGCTGCTCTCACTCGTACTGCCCCCCGACGTGCTCGACAGAACGGTGCTGCTGGCAGCGGTCGTAGTCGTGACTCGCGCGGTGCTGCTCTCACTCGTACGGCCCCCCGACGTGCTCGACAGAACGGTGCTGCTGGCAGCGGTCGTAGTCGTGACTCTCGCGGTGCTGCTCTCAGTCGTTCTGCCCCCCGATGTGCTCAACAGTGTGGTTTCGCTGGTAGCGGTCGTAGTCGTGACTCTCGCGGTGCTGCTCCCAGTCGTACGCCCACTGACGTGCTCCCCCCCGTCCTTCCCCCTCCTTTCCCCCCGTTCCCCGTCTCTCCCCCGGTCTCCCCCTGTCTCCCCCCCTCTCTTCCTCCCTCCCTCCCTCCTCCCTCCTCCCTCCCCCCCTCCCCTCCCCTCCCTCCCTCCCTCCTCCCCTCCTCCCTCTCCTCCTCCCTCCCTCCCTCCCTCCCCCCCCCCTCTTCCCTCTCCCTCCTCTCTCCCTCCCTCCCTCCCTCCCCCTCTCCCTCACTCCCCCTCTTCCTCAGTCCCTCCTCTCTCCCCCCTCCCGCTTCCTTTCCCCCCTCCCTCCCCCTCCACTCCTCCCCCCCCTCTGTTGAGGATCGGTCGATGTTTACGCACAACCGGGGGGCACCACGGGCCTCTGCCGCCTCTTCCCCCTTCTCCCCCTCTCCTTCCCCCTCGCCCCCCACCCCCCGTTCCCCCCCGCTGCCTCCCCCCCCTCACAATTGCACAACATGAATACTACTCTCCTCTCTCTTTTGGTGGCGTCTGGGGAATCTCTGGCCCCCCTCCGCGTACGGTTTCTTACACGCAGGATTCCCAAGAGTTGGGTTTTCGCTCGGGTCATTTTCGGGCTGCCGCTCGTTCCGAATCGCGTTCCCGCTGCAACGCTGGCCTCATTTCCGCGCTTCCGCTCGTTCCGAATCGTGCTCCCGCTGCAGCGGTGGCGTCATTATTTCCAGCGCCATGCCGCGGCATGGTTTCCGGTTCTTCCAAATGGGCCCCTACATTTAGAACATGCCCACCTGACAAAACCAGTGGACGTCATTACACATTCGGTGTCGATTCGTTGATTTTTTGGGCCGCGGAAGACCCCCACTTTGGGGCGTCGCCACGCCAGGCTATGTCACGCTACGCGTCCTCATTTCCGAGCTTTTGCGATTTTTTTGTTCCTCTCAAAATGCGGCTCTCGCTGAAGCGCTGGCCTCATTTTCGGGCTGCCGCTCGCCCCGACTCGTGTTCCCGCTGCAGCGCTGGCCTCATTTCCGCGCTTCCGCTCGTTCCGAATCGTGCTCCCGCAGCAGCGGTGGCGTCATTATTTCGCGTGCCATGGCCCCACAATCTAGAAAATGGCCTCCCGAAGAAACCGTCGGAAGTGATTGCACATTCGGTGTCGATTCGTTGATTTTTGGGCCGCGGAACCCCCCCCCCTTGGGGCGTCGCCACGCCATGCTATGTCATGCTACGCATTGATATTCGACACTATGCTAAGCCATGTAATGCTATGCCATGCTGTGACATGCGATTGTGCGAACAGACAGGAGATTTACGCCATGGTAAGGGATGGGAGGGAGGGGTAGGACGTCAGATATGACGCGAGCGCACCTCAATTGCCCTTTCCCCCTCTCTTGCCCCCCCTCCTTGCCCGTTTTCCCTTTCCCCCTTCCCCCTCTCCCTTTCCACTTTTTCCCTCTCCTTCCCCCCTGTCCTTTCCCCTTTCCCGCTTCACCCTCTCCCTCTCCCCCTTCCCCCTCTCCTTCCCCCGCGTCCCCCCCGTTCCCCCCCGCTGCCTTCCGTGCCTGGTGCAGCTACCATCTCGAGTGCGCCTGAGGTTTCGGGCAGCCAGGGAGGGCAAGAAATACTGCTCACAGAACCGACACCTCCTGAGCCCCCAATCGATTCCACACATTCAAAACGTCCGTGGGAAAAAAACACACACACAATACACACAAAAAACATACAAAACACACACACACACACAAAACACACACTGTGGGAAAAACGCACACACAAAACACACACACAAACACACAAACGTCCTGGGAAGTATTGTTTATTTGCGGATGTCGCGCTTAGATCCACGCGCTGATCCGTGGTCGGGCAACGCTTGGGGCGCACCGCCATGACCATTCACAAGGCTTCACGGGACCACGACGCTGGCCATGGGGATGCACGAAAAAAGGGGGGTGCGGAGATGGGAAGAACGGCAGGGGGACCAGGGGACAGAAGACGTGGCAAGAAGGAGCGCAAGGAGAATTCCAGTCGACTGGCCATTCGATGAGGACGACGCGAAAGGAAAATGACACTGTGTAAGAAGCGCGAGGGGAATGACGACGACAGCGAGGTAGCCTTGCAGCCACACCTCGTAGGTCTCGCCGTGCTCGCCCGACCAAGTGCCCTCCAGGCTCGCCCACGCGCTGCGGTAACCGCTCTGCGCCCTGCGGTGCTTGCCGCAGCGCTCGTTCAGTGCCTTAGAACAGATATGCCCCCCCGATTTGAGCTGATCCGCAGAGAAGAAGAAACAACGGAACAACGGACAAAATGGTTCTATGCTAGGTCGGGCATGTCCTCCTACAGGCCGATGTTTGACGAACAAGGGGCGCACATTTTAAAACGCATCCAGGAAATACTCAACCATAGTAAAAACACATCGTATCCCGACGTTTCTCCAGTAGAGGGACACGTTCGACTTGAGTCTTACGCGGTATGACGTAGCGACCTGGCGCCGCGGCTTGCGCGGGCGGTCGGGGCGGCGCGCCACACTGGAGACGAAGGCGCCTACGCACGACCTTGCGCGGGCAACTTACGGCGGATGTCGGCGCAGACGCGCCTGTCTCGCTCAACAATCTGGCCGTCATTGTTTGGACGTCCGCGCGGCTTTCTCAGGGTCCCGGGGGCGGCGTGGGAGGCGCTGCCAGGGGGACCGCCGCGGATCCCAAGAAACTTCGCGGAGCTCCAGAAATTCCGGTGAATTCAACCTTTTCCCCTTCGACCCCAGCTCCTCCTCCTCGTCCTCACTTTTAGGACGTAGACTACGGTCCTCTGGCCCTCTGGTCCTGCGGCCCTCTGGTCCTCCTCTGATCTTCTGGTCCTCTGGTCCTCCGGTCCTCTGGTTCGCTGGTCCTCCGGTCCTGCAGTCCTCCCATCCTTTGGTCTTCCTGTTCCTCTGGTCCTCTGGTCTTCCAGCCCTCCAGTCCGTCTGGTCCTCTGGTCGTCCGGTCCTGATCCTCTGGTGCTCTGGTCCTCCGGTCCTCGGATCCTCTGGTCCTCCGGTCCTCTGGCCCACCGCCCTGTGTTCAAGCTACTTCTGGGCTTACAACATCACTTGCGACTACCAGTTGGCGAAATTTGAGCCCAGGCGGCTTGAGCCAAAATGGCCACGGATCTCTCCTCCTCGTCGTCGTCGTCGTCCTCCTCCTTCGGGGCGTTCTCCGCCTCCTTCCGCTCCCTCAGCTTTGGACACCCGAAATGGGTACCGAAAGAATGGGTACACTGCCCAACAACAAATGTTGTCCCAAACCAACAGCGACCGCTGTTGGGCAGGCGGCCTTCTGTCTCGAACGGACACAGGCCGCGGCGGCGTGGACAGCGAATCCTGTTCAGAATGAACAGGAACTGCTGTTGGGCATCGTACCCTTTCTTTCGGTACCCATTTCGGGCGTCCAGATCAGCGCCTCTTCCTCCTCGGCCCCCCGTCCACCCCGCCCCAGGGACCAGCCAGGCTGACTCTCCCGACCACCCGGAGAAGAGCCAGGAGAGGGGGGGAGTACGAGGGAGAGGAGCAGCAGGAGGGCAGAGGACAGAGGACATGAGGAAGGGAGGGAGCAGCAGGAGCAGGAGCAGGAGGAGTAGCAGGAAGACGAGTAGGGGAATGAGGAGGAGGAGGAGGAGGAGGAGGAGGAGGAGGAGGAGGGGGATGAGGAGGAGAGAGGAGAGGAGGAGGAGGAGGAGGAGGAGGAGGAGGAGGAGGAGGAGGAGCAATCCCCGAACGCCCCCGTGCGATTGCTTTGGGGCCCTCTTCTTCATCCTCCTCCTCACTCCCGGCGTCCCGACAGCCCCGTCCACCGATCGACCGGCGGGATCGGCGCCCCGATGCGAGGATCGAGGCCTTCCTCTTCCGAAGAAGTCGGCGTATGTTGGATAGCGAGGAAGATGGGGAGGCGAGGGTGACGGGGAGGACGGGGGGTGGGTCCAGCGGAGGTGGGCGAGGGAGCTTGCCTGAGTCCGAAGATCCAGGTCCTCCTTGGGGTTTGGGGCCCTCCAGCCCCGAGGAGGACTTCGACCCCCCCTGGGAACGTGGAAGGAAAACGTGGCCCCTCTTCAAGCACCCGCTCAGCCGAAGGAGTTGGCCTGGGTCCGAAGACCCAGGTCGGGGCGCAATCAAATTGCAAGCACCAACTGCACAACAACGGCGGGGAAAAACGACGAGCGATAAATCCGAAACGCAGAACCGAGAGAGAAACCACGATCGGGGGGCACGAAGGCGGGGTTGGTTGGGGCAAAGGTGGATGTGGAAGGAAAATCGTTCCGAACGGCCCCTGGAAGAAGGACGCGCGCGAAACGGGGGCATCCAGCTGGGCCCGTTCCCCAGCCCCACCTTGGCGTGCCCCCGAGGGGCATCCCGCTGGTCGGGGGCTCGCAAAGGGAGGCTCCCTCTGCGAGCCCCCGACCAGAGTGACACGGCATGCCCGAGCGGGCCCCGGTGGAGGGGCCAAGGCCACCGTCTCCTGAGCTCGCTGCCTCCTCCGCTCTGCTGCAGCAGGGCATCGCAGACTTGGCCTCCTCGCAGGCCTTGGGCGCGGCGCGCCAGTTCGGGTCCGCGCCCGCGGCCTCGGGCGTCGGCCCCGCCTTGGCCTCCTCGCACGCCCTCGGCGCGGCGCGCCAGTTCGGGTCTGCGTCCGCAGGCTGGGGGCCGCCTTCTTTCCGCAGAGACCGCACCAGCCGTCCCCCACGCCTCGCTCACGCCCTCGTTGCCTCGCCCCCTGCTTCCCCGCCCACCCCGCATTGTCTCCTTCCCCCTCCCGCCCATCCCCGCGACAGAAGGGGAAGAGAGGAGATGGTGGATCCCCCCGAAGATCGATCTTGACTGATGCCTCGCACCTGCCAGTTCAAACGGCAGCAAGCGAAAAACACCGACGCTGGATGCTACAAGCCCCCGTCATGTGAAAATGAACATCCACGCATCCTGCCGAGCGCGTGTGCGCATGTTTTCGTCATGCCGCTCTCATCGCTCCCATCTCGAGGAAGCATGAGCACAAGATCGTGAAGCCTCCTCCTCGCCATCCTCGGATCTTGTCACGGACAGAGGCACTGGGTTGACAAACTGGCCGAAGCTTGAGCGAGACCGAAATAGACAGGGCATGGTGCGTCCAGAAGGGAGGCGTCCAAGAGGGGGTTCGCAAGTCTTGGCCGGAGGCGTGTGCGCGGCCCAGAGAGGAGGGACCATGAGATCTGGGGAGATTTCATGGCCGCAGCCATGAGATCCCCCCCGATCATCACCCTCCTTCTGGCCGCCCCCGGATGGTGGCGAAGGCTGGAAAGACTCCAGGGAGACTGGCCGGGGCTGGAAAGAGTGGATGGGCTGTCCCCGCCCGCCCACTCTCGTTCCAGCTTCCCAGCGGGAGGTAGATCCAGGGGCCCACTGAATTGGACCAACTGAAACACCTGGCGCCAGCCTCGGCGCGTGAACAATAAGTGAAACGTGCACGACCGAGGATGCCTTCAGCAAGCCGCCCACGCCTTGACCGCCAGCGCCCACTTGCGAGCTGCACCGCCCTTTCGGCGAAGTAATCAACAAGTCGCTCATGGGAACTGGCAACACTCCCGCAATTCTTCAGCACCAGGGGCCCAGGGGGACACAGGAAAATCCACACACGACCTCTAGGATTTCCCAGATCTTCCTTTATTTCATGTATGTTCCCCTTCCCTTTACTCCAGATTTCGTAATAAAAGGGAGGGGGTCTGGACCCTCCAAGACAAGCCATTTCAGACCTCCCCCGTGGGAGAACCCTCCACAACATCGTCCCCAGACCCCCCAGGCCCTCCAAGATAGCCTGGAAGAGAACCCCCCCCCGAAATGAGACCCCCCTCCCTTTACTACGAAATCTGGAGTATTTTTTTGTGCAACGCGCCCTTCATCGAATCGCTGATCAGCTGTTCCCCGGTGGGCGCCAAGTGGGCCCGCAGACACATCATGCAGATCACGCTGGGGCGGCATCGACGAACAGCTGCATTCGACAAGCTACAATAGAAGAGGAAGGCGAAGACGAACAATGATAATAATAATACTAATAATAATAATAATATTAATATTAATAACAATAATACTTATTATAATTATGCTAATAAAAATAATACTAATACTAATAATGATAATAATGATAATAATAATAAACATACTAATAAGCAGAACACTACTAACACTAATACAATAACGAACGCCATAAGCATACACTTGTGGCGCTCCGCGCGGTGTTCGTGCATCCGCGCGCAGCGCCACAAGTTCATGTTTCTGGCGTTTTTCTCTTCTTCGTTGCAAAGAGCATGCACCTCTTCTCCTCCATTTCCCATGCTTCCCAACATGCTCACGAAAAACAGCGCTCATCTCTGCTTGCGTGCCGACCGTTCCCTCCTGAGCTGAGGCGGCTCCGCACCGCTGGCTCTCTCCTCCCCTCGGGGCCGCGGGAAGCGGCGGAACAATCTTCGGCGGCGAGCCCGGGTGGAGGCGACAGGGGGCAGGCCTGCTTCTGGGTCCTGGGGCAAGCATCTTCGCGCCTCGCGCCCCGCGAAGCGCGACTGTCTTTGCGCTTGAGCGCCGCCCCCCCTCCCCCGGATCAGGAGTGCGGGACTCGCGCCTCGCTCTGAGATCGCCCAGGCCGCGAAGCGCGACTAGCTTTAAGCCGGGCCTGTCCCCCTACAGGGGGACTTTCGAAGAAGAATATAAAGTAGTCAAACACATTCGAAAATGGTCAACAAATACTCAAAAAATCGTCCCCTGACTATTTTTGCATAATTTTGAATATTCCTCCTGTAGAGGGACAGGCCTGACTTAAGACTAGCTTCGCACCCTCATGGTGGCCCCAGCTTTTGGGAAGGCGGCGGGGCTTCTCAACAGCCCTCGCGCCCCGTGAGAATATTTCTGGGCCTTCTACGAAGGCAGAGACGGCTGCTCGGAAGGCCGGAGGGCTTCTGAGACCCGCCGTCTAAAAAGCCCTGTCCCTCTCACCTCCCTCCTGGGCACGCCGCCGAAGTCAGGGCCAAGATGCGTGCGGCTCTGAGGCAGACGACTCCATAGTCAAAGGGTCCCCCCTCCGGCGGGGCGGCGCACCAGCCGTCACGTCGCCGAGATGCATCGGCGACGCCAGCGCGGAGGAAATCGGGCTCCGCATCGGGCCGCATCGCCCGGGCAGCGGCGATGCGGCGTGAATTTCCGACCCCGTTTTGGGAGGCCTGGAGCTCGGGCCCCCGAAGCCGAAGCGGGACGAGGATGAGGACCAAGGGACCCATACCTCCGACATCATGATTTTTGTTCACCACGTCGACCCCCAGAGGTCTCGACCCACTCCCAGGGGCGACCGGTTTTTCATCCCGAGTCGATGTTTGACGGTATCGAGGCAGGCCCCTCAGAGGCAGAAAATAGCGAAATACCCTTCGTCTCGGGGATCTTCTGATCTGGATCAATCCAGACACGGGTCAGTCAAGCCTTGCATAATCCTGCGAGACCCTGCAAAGTCCTGCACCCAAACCCGGATCAATGTGAAGGATCCTACACCCAAGCCCTGGTCAGTGCGACACTGGCCCTGCAGGATCCTGCAAGATTGGGCGCTCTGGCTGACCCCCGTTTGCATTGAACCCCGTCTCAAAGCTCCCTCTCGTCGTGGGGAAAGGGCTCACCGGGCGGGGGGAGCACCCTGAGGGGCGCGCGGGGACCTCGATAGAGTTCTCCCGCGCCCCGAGGAGGCCCGACGAGGACAGTGTCGCGCCCGCCAGGCCCCAACGGTGCCGATCGCAAACCACACCCCCGCGTAACCATACCCTTTGTTAGGAGACAACTAATGGGAGGTTTTCGTCGGAAAGATGAAGGAGGATTCAGCCCCATTTGGGAGCCGTTGCAGTGGGCCTCGGACTAAGCAGGATTGAGCCAGAGATAGGCGGGATGAAGCCGGATTTCGGAACAGGGCAAAATCAGAACTTGACCTCCCAGGAGTTGCATCCGAACCTTTGCAGTCGCCGAGGGGAAGGGGCTCGCCGAGCGGGACGGGGCGGCGCTCCTTGCCGCTGTCCTCCGCTGCCGCCGGCGCGGCGGGCTGCTGGCGCCAGGACAGCTCGGCCGCGGGGGTGGCCTCCCGCCGCTGCCCCTCATCTCTCGCCTCCACCTCCTCCCCCTGGCCCTCCTCCTCAACTCGCCCCTCTCCCGATCCTCCTCCTCCCTCCTCCTCCTCCTCCTCAGGCCTCCCTCCTCCTCCTCCTCCTCCTCCTCCTCCTCCTCCTCCTCCTCAGGCCTCCTCTTCCCCCCTCGCCTCCTTCTCCTCTTTGCCCCCCCTACCCCTGCATTCGGTTTCCCTCTCCTTCTGCCCCGTACCCTCCCCTCCTTTCTTCCCCTCCCCCTTCCCTCCCCTACCCCTCCCTCCCTCGCCGAATCTCCGTTTTCCCCCCAGATCTCTCCGGAGGTGCCCGGAGGACTCCAGAGGCCCGACGCGAAGCACCAACAAAAAAGAGCGACTCAAACCTCGGAGCCTCGGTTGTCCTCCTCCTCCTGCTTCTCCCCACTCCCCCCCCGCCCTCTTGGCATATGGAAGGCGCTGACCCTGAGGGAAACGGGTCCTGGACACCAGGGCCCTTCTCCAAGACCAACCGTCCATCCCGAGTCCCAAAAAAAGCAGCTCAAACGTCGGAGCCTCGGTCCTCCTCCTCCTCCTTCTTCTCCCCACTCCCCCCCCGCCCTCTTGGCATATGGAAGACGCTGACCCTGAGGGAAACGGGTCCTGGACACCAGGGCCCTCCTCCAAGACCAAGCGTCCGTCCCGAGCCGTGTTTTTACGGCCCCACGGCTTGGCCAGGGCCCGGGGGCCCGAAGACTGTGCACAACCTCCAGGACGTAGTTGACGCCACAGGCGCTTTTGTTGTTTTTCCTCTCGTGTCTTCAACATTTTCGGTTATCGCCAACCAAAGCAGGCGGGGAAACGGCAGACCGAGATAGAAAAAACAACGGCAATACAAAAAGGAACCGAACCGAAAACAGCGCTACCGAGGCGTTCCCACACGGGACACAGCAGCGGACCCCCTAAAGGGAAAGAACAACGCCGAACTTGAGAACGGGACAAAAACGCACCCAGCGTTTTGGATAACCTCTGAGCTCCCTGAGGGACCGACCGTCCCGGCATTCTTATAGGCCTAAACGAAATGTTCTCAGAACCCCCCCAACGTTCTGATACCAAAGACAAGGTTCTTAGAACATAAACCCGAAGTATTAAAACACGACAGTCTCAGCCAGAAATGTTATCTAATAGCATCTCGTGTAGAACACAACAGGTCGTTAGAGCGTTCTTTGGTGGGCCTGAGGCAAGCCAGGACGCTTCGCCACTGCTTGACTGTTCCCTCAGCACCCCTTCCCTTCTTGGGGGGGCGTCCAAGAGGGGGGAGGGGGCGCAAAGCATGACCGGCGGCGCGTGCGCGGCCCGGGGGGAGGGGGGGGGGGGCGCGGACGTGATGAAACAAGCAGAGGCGCCATGAAACCTGGAGAGATCTCATGGCCCCCGCCATGCTTCCCCCCCCCCTAGTCATCAGCCCCCTCTTGGCCGCCCCCGACTCACGGCCTCCCTCGCCCGCCCAGCCCGTGCGCCCCCTGCCGCCTGGGGCGCCTGCGCCGGGGCCGCGGGGCTGCCGGCCTCCCCGTCGCCGCTGGACTGCAGCACCTGGGACCAACGGGGGGGGGGGGGCTCGGGGGGGGGAAATAACCAGCCTCGAACGTATCCCTATCCCCTACCCCTAAGATGGGCGAGCAAAAAGCGAGGACAATCTTAGGGATAGGCCCTCAGAAACTGAGGGAATCCTTAAGATCGGCATCGAGGTGAGGTGATGTCAAACATAGGGATGGGGATATGTTTCAAACTGGTAAGGAAAGGGCTGATGGCGAGGAGGAAAATTCACCTACACGGACTCGGCGGGAGGAATCGTCACGCTCCGCAGCGCCGTCTGCCCCCATCCCCCCCCTCCCTGTGGGGGGCCACAGGTGTGGAGCTGAGAGGGCAAAAGCAGCATTGGAGAGCCATGGGTGGACGCGCAACGGGCGATGGGGCGGCATCGCCGCCACCGCCGCACTGACCGCCGCCACCCGAGCGTAGCGCGGCAACCGAGGCCAATCTTGCGGCCCAGCCCAAGGGCGCCAGCTTGTGGAGTTCGGCGCCCGGCTTCAGGTTGGACCTCGCCGCGCGCCCGCGCCCAGGCCATCCCGCGCCCCCCGGGACCTCTGCCACTGTGCCCTCCTGCTGTTCACGATTCGCGAGTCACGTGCAAGGGACACGTCCTGTAAGTTGCAAACAGAGCTCGCCCCAGTTCCTCATAAGCCCATCCTTCTGCGGCAAACCTCCCCGCCTCCCTGATCGGCTGCTGCTGCTCCTCCTCCACGACAACCATTCTCTTCCTCCACGCCTCTCTTCTCCTCTTCCCCCGTCCCTCCTCCATGTACACAGCTCCTCCCTGTCGCGCCCCAAGGACGTGTTGGTAGGGCGGGCCCAGGCGCTTCGCCAGAGTCTCCCTCGCCCTTTTAATAATTCCTGAAACTTGACAGCTGCAGCTCAGTGCTGGACCTAAACGTTATTTTTCGTTTTGTGTTCGTTCTGTTATACCTGTTTTCCTGCACCTCCCTCCCAAAACGAAAGATAAAACACCGCCGAAGTCCAGCAAACCAGCGTTTAGGTCCAGCCCTGCCAAGCACCTTCGCCCTTAAACATTGCAGCGGCTTCACGGATGAGGGGGTGGTCTTTTCATACTGTGGCTCTCGCCTTCGCGCCGCGCGCATTCGTCTTAGATCGCCTCTCAACGGCTTCAAGGATTGAAGGGGCTCGTTTTCAATGTGGGGCTCACGCCTAAGACTGCAGGCCTTTGCGCCGCACAGTTCGTCTTGCAACCTTGCAACAAGTACCTGGATGAGGTATGGCTCCTTTGGAAAATGGTGCTCTGGCCTCAAGCGCCCCGCGCTTTGGGCCAAAACTCTGGCGACGAGTACACATATGGAAAACATGCCGTTCTCAAACTGGGGCTTTGGCTGTGGCGCCGCGTACTCCAGATCTCGTAATAAAAGGGAGGGGGTCTGGACCCTCCAAGACAGGCCATTTCAGACCCACCCCCGTTGGAGAACCCTCCAAAACACCGTCCCCAGACCGCCCCAGGCCCTCCAAGATAGCCTGGAAGAGACCCTCCCCGAAATGAGACCCCCCTCCCTTTCTTACGAAATCTGGAGTACGTTATTTCTAACAACTTGCAACGCTTAGAAGGTTGGAAGGCGGTTCTGTCTCAAGACAACGACTCTCGCTTGACACTTCAAAAACCTCGAAACTTCACCACATGTAGCATTGCTCGGATCGAGGGTGGCCCTGTTTCAAGATGGATCTCGCGCGTGGAACTTCCCCGAAGGTCGGGGCCTCGCTGGAGACAAGGTGCCGTCTTTTCGGTCTCCGCATTCCTAACTTCTCAAAGCGGAGCCCTCGCCACAATGGCAGGCCAATATGGGTCTGGTCATTCAGAAGGGCAGGGGCGCTTCTTGTAGTCATAAGGGAGGCCTGTGGGGACGCACGAGGGGAAAACTTGGGGCGCGAGGGTGCATTTCAACACCGGTGATGCACATTGGGTTGCCTTTGGTACTCCTGCTCCATCTCGACCAGTTTCAGTCCTCTCTCACGCTCAGCACGGCTGCGTGCGTATCGGGGATCTTCTGACCCGGGTCAATCCAGACCCGGGTCAATCAGGCCTTGCAAAATCCTGCAAGATCCTGCGCCCAAGCCCGGGTCAATGCGAAGGAACCTGCGAGATCCTGCAGGATCCTGCACCCACACCCGGGTCAATTCGACCCTGGCCCTGCAGGATCCTGCAAGATCCGGCGCTCTGGCTGACCCCCGCTTGCACTGGCCCCCGCCTCAAGGCTCCCGAGCGTACTTCTGCAGCGGGCGCCCGTGCCAGAACGGGCACTCTCACTGGCCATCGCTCGGACGTCCATTTCCTGTGTTTTTTTTCGGTTTCGAGCGTGGTTTTTTCACCGAATGATTAAGGATGCTCCTCGATGGTCCTCGCCGAGAAAAAAATGCACACGTCCGAGCGATGCCAAGCTCAAGGTGAACGGCAGTCTAGCTGCTGCTGCTCCTGCTGCCGCTCCCCCCCCGCCGCCTGCGCATCTCCTTGAGCCAGTGGATCGCGCGCTCGGCGTCGCCCTCGCGGGCGCACGCGCCGATGAGGACTGAGAAGGTCTCCTGAGCTGGCTCCCACGGGATTCTCCATCCTCCCCCTCCCCCCTCCCCTCCTCTTCCCCCTCCTCCTCCTCCTCCTCCTCCTCCTCCTTCTTCTCCTTCTCCTGCCTCCGCTCCCCTTCTCCTCTCCTCCATCCCCATCCTCCCTTCCTGCATTCCCTCCCTCGCTTCCTCTCCCTCCTATGCTCCTCCTCTCTCCCCCCCCCACTGTGCCAGGTGGCAAGGCGCTCGCGGCACCCTTCCCCCCCTCTCATCCCTCCTCCGCTCGTTCTCCCCTCCCGTCCCCTCCCCTCCGCTGCCCCCCCCCCTACCCCCCTCCCCCTCTTCCCAGATCCCCGGCACCTCTCCCTCCTCTCGCCCTCCCGCTCATCCCTTTCCCGCCTCCACTCCTGCCGCCCCCTCTTTTCTACACCCTGCCTCGAGTAGGTCAAGCTCCAGTGCTGGTGGACGGAAGGGAGAGAGGGCCGGGAGTGTGAGTGTAACGAGGAAGGGGAGAGTGGATAGAGCGAGGGAGATAGGCAGAGAGGGAGGACTGGTGATGAGCGGGGAATGTCCTCTTCTTCTCCTCTGCCTCCTGCTCCTTCTCCTGTTCATCCTCATCCCCCTCTTCGTCCTTCGTCCTCCTTCTCTTCCCTCCATGCACAGCCCAAGTCTCCTCGTCAACTCGGACGCCGATCAGTGGCATCCTGGCCACCCACGCCTCCGCTTCGTCTCTGGCTCCTCGCAGGCAGGCACCCCCGCGGAACCCTCGCTTCATCCATCCTCATCCCTTGTCGCCTCCACGTCCTCCCCCCCTCCCATTCCTTCTCCCCTCCGCCTCCTTCTCCCTTTTCCTGCTCCTCTCCTCCTCTAATCCATCACTCCTCCTCCACTCCTCCCATCTCTCCCACTTTCCAATTTCTGACAGCTCTCGCAATACTTACAGCTACTAAGCAACACTTTGACAAACAGCAGAAGCTGCCTCGACCAAGGAGCAATAGCTTCAGAACCCCCCTCTCCTCTGTCCTATCTTCCTCCCCTCCCCTCTCATCCCCCCTTCCCTTCCCTTCCCTTCCCGTTTCATCCGACCTGTCCTCATTTGTTCCCCCTACGTTCCCGCCCCCCCCTCACCTCGCGTCTCCCGCCCCTCCTCAACTCACCCCGTTGCTCATGCTGAAGGCCATGACATGTTGTCCACGGTACCTATCAAGGTTCCCCTGCGATGCAAAGCAGTCGACGCATCTGCTCGACTGGGAGCAAATCCACAGGCCTGCCTGCAGGGCGTGAGTGGTTTAGCGAGTTTCATCTTGCACCCCCCCTTCTTTCGGGGAAGGGTCTAGCACTGTTCCCTATTCATGAACACCCCCTCCCCCAGGCGACGGGCAGCCATCCAGGTGCGATGCCCCCCCACCATTCCGGTCAACAACAGTGAAACCAAACACTGTGGGGCAACATCGTGCAGGCACTTTGACCTGCTTTTTGACAGGGACGGCGGCTGGGTGGGTGGGCGCAAACTGCCTGCTGTGCGCAGGGCCAACATCCCTGTCAAGAAACAATGCAGCATGCACCTCGCTGCAACATCTGCATCATGCGCGGGCACCATGCGGTCACTTCGAATTGGTCTTTGACCGGGACGGCGGTGGTGCTGGCACATTGCCTGCTGCGCGCAGGCTCACCAGACACCACGGTGGCCACCACGCCGCGATGGCGCACTGGCTTCCGACGAAGACGGTGGGGGCCCCCCTGCTTCCCGATGTGCACTGTCGCGTGCGCGGGCGGACGTGCCCCGAACTTGGCGCACCTTGCGCGGCTGGAGCTCTGGCTATCGCTCGGACGTCCATTTCCTGTGTTTTTTTTGGCTTCGTGCGTGGTTTTTTCGCGAAATGATCAAGGATGCTCCTCGATGGTCCTCGCCGAAGGAAAAATGCACACGTCCGAGCGATGCCAAGAGCTTGCGGCACACATGGCGCACGTGGAGCACGTGGCGCATCTGGCGCACCAGGCGTGCCTGGCCCGCCTGGGTCCCCGAGGTGCCTGAGCACCTGGCGAACGTGGCGCGCCTGGCGCGCGTGGTGCACCTCGCCCCGAACGTCGCGCACGTGGGGTCTGTGCTGCTTCCCAGTGGCTGCCCATGCAAAGACGACCGCTGAACATGCTGCGCTGCGGCTCGGGTGCTACTCATTATTCGGGGATGGACAGACCCCCCTTTAGTAAAACGTGGTTTAGTGAAAACGACCCGAGGCCCAAACCTGGCGGGCGCAAGCCTGGAAAATAACGGCCACGGCGCCCTCTCGAGAACCGAAAACGGACAATTCATTAATCGACGTGTCACTGTTGGGGGTTCTGTCTACCCCCGAATTATGTGTCGGGAGGGGCGGTGGGAAAGAGCGAGACGGCCTGCGTGCGGGGAGGACGTCTTGACCTCTTCCCCATACCCCCTCCCCCTGGAGGAGTTCACGGGCGACCGGAGGACCGCGCTGGCCGCGCGGGTGCCCCCAGCCCCCCTCCCCCACCCCCTCCCCTTTGCCCGCCCCCCCCCCCTCGCCTCCACCCCCTCCCCTTTGCCCGCCCCCCCCAGCCCCCCTCCCCCCCCCTCCCTTTGCCCGCCCCCCCCCCCCTCGCCTGTCTTGAGCAGGGACCGACCGTCCCGGCATTCTATAGGCCCACCAAAGGTTCTCAGAACACAAACCCGGTGTGTTAAGACACGACAGTCTCAGCCAGACATGTTCCCAAAAAACATTTCGCGCAGACCAGAAAAGGCTCTTAGAACATTCTTTCGTGGGCCTATAGGCGAGCCACGACGCTTCGCCACTGCTTGGCTTGCCCCTCGTCTCGCATCAAGGCTCCACGGGCGCTGGTCGAAAAAAACAAAACGGAAGTGGTCCGACGGCCTCGCATGGGGGCGATCAAGGTCCCCTGCCCGTGGCGGGGCGCCCCAGTCAGTGGGACTTCCGCTGGTGTTTCGGTGCCGCGCGGTTGCAAAAAAGCGAAACGAAGGCGCCAGAGTCGAGCACACAGGCGTGCCCCTGCCTTTGGGGGCATGGCGCATGAGGCCATGGCCTCACATCGTGTGCGAGTAAGCAAAAAAAACAAGACGCGTGTGAATCGGGGAAAAAAATGGAGGACGTGACAACAACGTGTTCATGATCCTGGTCAAAATCGAATCGGTGCGGTCGGTGTCGTGGCTGCTACTGTTGATGCAGTCGTTGCTGTGTTGGTGCCACTGCTGCGTTGCTGTGGGCGTTGTTGTGTTGGTGTCGGTGTTGGTGGTCAGTGGTGTAGTCGGTGCTGTTGTGCGTAGTCGGTGCTGTTGTGTTACTGTCGGTGTTGGTGGTCGTTGGTGCTGGCGCTGGGGGGTGCACGTACCTTGGGAGCCTACGGAGGGGAGCCCAGAAGCCAGAGGGGGCCACGATAATCCACGACCCTCAATCCAGTCCAGCAAGTGCGCTCCAGTCAGGGGCCCAGAATTCCGACGTTGTGATTTGTCTGAACTTCCAGTCGGGAGCGTGTGCTGAACGTTCGGTCAGGCATTTCCCCCTACAGGCGGATTTTGCAAGAAAAATCAATGAGTAGCCAACAGTACTCAAACAGTGTAAAACATAGTAGTAACATCGTCCCCAAATTGTTTCCCAACCGCTGTGGTGTTGGGTCCTCGTTTTGAAGAGACGGTGCCCCGCGTTCCTTTCCTCCTCGTCCTCGTCCTCGTCCTCGTCCTCGTCCTCCTCCTCTCCCCCTCCCCCCTCCTCTTCGTTCCCTGCGTTTTTCACCCACGCAGGACAGCGCTTCGTCTCCCCAGTAACAGCTCCGCCGAAAGCGCCACTGGCAGGGTTCGCGTGCTGGCCTTGCCTCGGGCCATTTCGGCACATCCCTCAGGAGGATCGTGGGCCGATTGGAGCTCCACCGAAAGCCGCAATGACAGGGTCATATGGCGGCCTCGGGCCATTTCGGCACACCCCTCAGGAGGATCGTGGCCGCAATTTCGGCACACCCCTCAGGAGGATCGTGGCCGCATAGGGAGCTCCACCGAAGGCGCCCGTGGCAAGGTTCGCATGGCGGCTTCGGGCCATTTCGGCACACCCCTCACGAGGATCGTGGCTCCGTAGGGAACTCCACCCAAGGCGCCAGTGGCAGGGTTCGCATGGCGGCCCCGGGCGTTTTCGGCACACCCCTCACGAGGATCGTGGCCCCGTAGGGAGCTCCACCGAAGGATCCAATGGCAGGGTTCGCATGGCGGCCTCGGGCCATTCGGCACACCCCTCAGGAGGATCGTTGGCCGATTGGAGCTCCACCGAAGGCCGCAATGACAGGGTCATATGGCGGCCTCGGGCCACTTCGGCACACCCCCCACGAGGATCGTGACCCCATAGGAGTTCCGCCGAAGGCGCCAGTGGCAAGGTTCGCATGTCGGCCCCGTGTCATTTCGGCACACCCCTCACGAGGATCGTGGCCCCATAAGGAAAAACTCCACCAAAGGCGCCCGTGGCAAGGTTCGCATGGCGGCCTCGGGCCATCTCGGCACACCCCTCACGAGGATCGTGGCCCCGTAGGGAGCTCCACCGAAGGCCCCAACGGCAGGGTTCGCGCGGCGGCCTCACGAGGATCGTGGCCGCATAGGGAGTACCGCCGAAGGTCCCACTGGCAGGGTTCGCATGGCGGCCTCGGGCCATTTCGGCACGCCCCTCACGAGGATCGTGGCCCCATAGGGAGCTAGATCCGCCGAGGTCGCCAGTGGCAGGGTTCGCATGGCGGCCCCAGGCCATTTCGGCACACCCGTCACGAGGATCGTGGCCCCATAAAGAGAAACTCCACCGAAGGATCCAATGGCAGGGTTCGCATGGCGGCCTCGCGAGGATCGTGGCCGCGTAGGGAGCTCCGCCGAAGGTCCCACTGGCAGGGTTCGCATGGCGGCTTCGGGCCATTTCGGCACGCCCCTCACGAGGATCGTGGCCCCATAGGGCTAGCTCCACCGAAGTCGCCAGTGGCAGGGTTCGCATGGCGGCCCCGTGTCATTTCGGCACGCCCCTCACGAGGATCGTGGCCCCATAAGGAAAAACTCCACCAAAGGCGCCCGTGGCAAGGTTCGCATGGCGGTTTCGGGCCATTTCGGCACACCCCTCACGAAGACCGTGGCCCCGTAGGGAACTCCACCCAAGGCGCCAGCGGCAGGGTTCGCATGGCGGCCCCGGGCGTTTTCGGCACACCCCTCACAAGGATCGTGGCCCCGCAGGGAGCTCCATCGATGGCGCCACTGGCAGGGTTCGCATGGCGGCCCCGGGCCATGTCGGCACACCCCTCACGAGGATCGTGGCCCCACCGGAAGGCGCCAGTGGCAGATTCCCTCATGGTTCCTAGAACCTTTTCTTGCTTCTGCTCCTCGGTCAGGGGGACGCCGTCCTCGTCGTCGTCGGCGCCCGCGAAAACGGCCACGAACGTGTCCCTGAGCATGTCGGGCTCCGGCGGGAAGCCGTGGCCACATAGGGAGCGTGGGCGAAGATGGTATTCATTGCGGTATTCACAATTGCGTATGGTTGGGTCCTTCGCCTGGCTAGTCGTGCAATATTTTCGACTGTTCCCCCTGTAGAGGGACATGCCCGACTTAAGTTTAGCGCGTCGCGGCAGCGGCCCTGGCGTCACGCTGTGCCGTGCAAGCGGATCGCGTGTCGCTTCGCTTTGCGGGGCGGGAGGCTGAGACAAGCTCGGCACGCGGATGCCTGGGGACCGCGAGGGGGATCTAGCGTTTTTGCGCCGAAGCGTGGTATGCCAGAAGCGGTGGAACGACAAGCCAACCAAAAGTTCCCGACTGCACGCTCGGTGGCAATTCGTGGAAGCCTCTCATGCCATCTTGTTGGCTCTCGCGAACCGACAGTGGCCGACGCTCATCGGACGCAAAGTCGACGCTGTCTCTTCGAGTACCAGACGCTGGCGCACGCTGGTGAACTCTGAAGACGGGATTGCGAGGACATGCAATAGAGGCCTCCCAGATGGGGTCCGAGATCGTGTCGCACAGCCGATGCATCGGCGACGTCGGCGGTGCATCGGCGACGCCAGCGCGGAGAAAATCGGGCTCCAAATCGAGCCGCGTCGGCGATGCATCGGCGGTGCGGCGCGATCCTCCGACCCTGTCTGCTCGCACCCCGCCCGGGAGGCCCAGAGTCAGCTCACCAGCGCCGCCCGCGACTGCGGCTGCGCCCGCGGCCCCTGGGGAGCGCTCTCTGTTGTCCGCGACAACGGCCGGCCCTGGCCGCCACCCCCCCGGATCACGTCACGATTCGGCTGACCTCCGGTGTGTGTGTGTGTGTGTATGTGGGTGTGCGTGTGTGTGTGTGTGGGTGTGTGGGTGTCCAGTTATTTCTCAATATTCTCAGACTGCGCCAACGTGAAATCCGGCTCCCCGCCCCTCCCTCCCCCGGTACCGGTAACGCCCGTTATCGCCCCTGCCTCCTGCCTCCTCCCCTCCCTCATCTACTCCTTCTTCTCCCTCTGCCCCCCCATCTACATCCCACCTCCTCAGGGTCAGACCTGCAACATCGATCGAACATGCATCCGAAGTGCCCCAACCTCATCATCGAGACTGGGCCGTGGAGACGCTGTTGACCTCGCTGCTCTGGGCTGACACCAAGCAAACCCAAGACGCCCTGCGGACAACACGCCCCGCGCCTCCGCGCACGCGAAGCGGGTGCGGCGGGAGCGTGTCCAGGGGTGGACAGAGACTCCCTCAGCAAAACGCCCTTCTGTGAGAGCTGCCAAGGGCACTCCACGTGCACCTCTCCGACGTCCCGACACAACCGAACGTATCTGGCGAAGCGCGCATCGGTTAGCGACACAGACTGGGGACTGCACCAGCACACTCGAAAGCCAATGTCGAGTGAGCCAGCGCAGATTTCCTTAGCCGACTTGTCTGGGTGGGCGTTCCTTTAAATCAGAGGACAAAGTCCACCCCGGAAATGATCACCCGACAAGCGGAGCCGTTTCGTGAACGCACCCAAGCAAGGAATCGGACAGGGCAGGGCTGTTCAGTAAACGCCCAAGGCCGCTTAATACACGCCAATTGTCAGGTCCGGGTGTTTTTTTTTCTCCCTTGGTTCATGAGAAGAAGAATGGTACCGGAGGAAAAACCCAATCATCATCTTCTTAGGGCTATGGGGCTATGGGGCTATAGGGCTAGAAGGCTCTGGGGCTATTTGGTTATAGGGCTATATAGGATATATAGGCTATAACGCTATAGTGCTATAGGGCTATAGGGCTACTAGGGCTATAGGGCTATAGGGGTATAGGGCTATAAAGCTATAGGTCTATAGGGCTACAAGGCTACCGGGCACCCAGGCCCTAGGCACCCGGGCATGCAGCCGAAATCGGCGCCCCACGTCACCTAACCATATGAATCTGCTAGGACCCCTACAGAGGCAAGCTCTGACTGGGGGGAAACCACATAAACATACAACTTTTGGCGCTCCGCGCGGATTTCTTGGATCTGGGCCTGACCCCCCTCCCTGGCGTGCCGCGGAGCGCGCCAGGGGCGGCGCCGGAGGCGCCGCCAGGGGGGCCCAGCGCAGATCCAAGAAATCCGCGCGGAGCGCCAATAGTTTATTTTCACGTGGGCTTTGCTTCTTCGGTTCATGCCCGTTCGCCAGCGGCAGGGGGGGCGCATCGCGCCCAGTGCTCGGTGCACTACGAGACGTCTGGCTGGTTCTGGGTCGGGCATGTCCTCCTACAGGCGGGCTCAAGCAAGAAAACTAAAAATGGTAAACCACATAGAATAACATCCCAAATGTCAGGGGGACGTAAGACCTGGGTACAGGGGACTCGGAAATCCCCGACGAGGTCGTCAAAAAAATGACGAGGCCGAACCTGCATTTTGACGAGGCCTCCCGCTGCAGACATCCCACGAAACTCCTCCTCGTCAAAATCCGAGGCGCGGTCGTCAAAAAACGATGACGAACCCGAGTCCTGGCAAACCCGGGTCTTGCGCTCCCCCGGAAATGGTCGAAAGAGGCCGAGCAGCCCGACGTGGGCGCCCGCACGGTCCTGCCGCGGCGAGCGCGCCGATCACCGAGTTGACGCAGGCCGTGCTCGGGCGGACCAGCGGCGCCGCGCCCGCGAAGGCGGCGAGCCACTGCGCGGCCTCTGCTCGGGGGGGGGTGGGAGGGGGCACCCGGGGGTGGATCTGCCTGTGATGCATCTGCGCTTGCAATGTTCCAGCCTGCTTCAGCCTGGATCACCGGAAAGAATTTCGAGCACCCAAGAAATACCGAAACTCGAGGGTTTTCACGTGTCGGGCCCTGGGGGGGCACTCGTCCGACACTGTTTCGACACTCTTTCGACACTTTTCCGGGTGCTCGAAATCATTCCTGGGATGCGGTCCTTAAGTACGATGGGAGCAACATAAGTCTACGCATGCGTTTGTTGTTTGTTTGTTTTTTCGGACCGCGACGATGCCAAACAGCTTGCGCGCGGCTGGGGATGCCAGCTGGAGAAGCTAAATCGCACCCCTTTGGGTTCGAGAGGCGACAGGATGATACAGAAGCGGGGGCACGCAACGAAAATGTAACGAATTACGGCCCGCAAGCAAAAGCGGAAGGAAGACGAAGAAAGGCATACTTCATATATGTCTGGCGTCTGGCACCATCCTCATCAGCTTCGTGCCAGCGCTGGTGGCACTGGTTGTGGAAGCATCTGCACCTGCCGATCTGCTGCCTGACATTGTCATCCGAAGAATCTGATAGCACATGTATTTGCACCCCACGCGTCCCCAGGCAGCCGCAGCTTCTTCGCCAAACTCCAGTGCTCGCCGAAAGAGCTTGATGCGCACCTGGTGTCGGAGTTGGAACCCCTTACTTCGAGTTTCTTGATAAGCGTCGGGGGGGCGTCACCCCCGCCAGCGGCCCCACATCGACCCCCGTCGCGGGCAGCCACCGCGCGCCGAAGGCGCTCCGACCCCCGCCGCGGAGCGACGGCGAGGCGAGGTTGACTGCAGGGGCCCTGGGACACACAAACAAATACACACAAATACCAGGATTCCCCACTTTTTCCCATACATTCTGTTTTTTTGCCTCTCCCCCCCCGCTTCCCATACTTTCCTATATCTATATCTATATCTATATATATGTGTGTGTATATATATATACTTATATATATATATATATATATATATATATATATATTCCTGGGAGCCGACGATTCATTGTGCGTGTGTCTGTGTGCTTTTTTCCCTCCTGATTGACCCCCGTGGGAGGGAGGGTAATTACCCCCCCCCCGAACCCCAGGAGTGCCTGCGGCACTCGGGGCGGGTGCGCACGCCTGCCCGGCCAGAGCGCGAGGGGGCGAGCGCGCCGCCTCCGGGCGCGGTGCGGCCGCCGGGCCACCGCGCGGGACGCCGCGCGGGGCACGAGCGGGCCGGGCGAGAGGGAAACGGAAGCGGAAACGGAACGCCCGTGCGGGCATGCGCTCGTCCTCGCCCTCCTCCTCCTCCCTCCTCCTCGTCCTCTCCCTCCTCGTCATCCTCCTCCCTCCTCCTCGTCCTCTCCCTCCTCCTCCTCCTCCTCCTCCTCCTTTTCCTCCTCCTCATCCCTCCCTCCTCATCGTCCCCCTCACCTCCTCCTCTTCCTCCTCCTCCGCGCCCGGGCCCCTTCAGGGCGAGGCGGGTGAGGCCATGGCCTCGCATGAGAAGCTGCGCGCGTCGGGGGTCTGCTCAGGACAGTGCGTACTTCCGGAGCCGAGTTCCCCGGCGCGAGAGGGGGGGGGGATAGCAGAGGGGGGGGGGCTTGAGCATCGGCTCGCGTGGCTGATTTTCCCGGCGCCTCCCGGCGCCGGGAGGCGCCCATGCATCGAGGAACGGGCCCGGCGGCGGGGCCGAAACCAGCTGCATGCAGCAGAAGACGTGACCCCCCCCTTGGCCTTATCCCCCCCTGTCGTTCGGGCCGGAACGACGGGGGCGCTCCTGGCCGCGGCGAGCCGCGGCCACGGGGCGGCACGCCGACCTGGACGCCGAAGGAGCGGCCCGGAGACTGGAGGCGCTTCTCTTTGTATTGAAAAATGTGCACGCTTCTCGATCTGCGCGTGTCATCCTTGCGGGCAGCACTCATGTTATGTCCATCTCCATCCAGTGCGCCTCGGACTTTCTTGGAGGGGGGCGCCGCAAGGCCGAGGCGCACTGGATCTAGACAAACGTCGAAGCTTTCGGGGCCGGATGTTTATCCACATCCAGTGCGCCGCATGTCTCTGGGGAAGAGAGCCCGAAACTCCAATACGTACTGGATGTGGATACACATATATATATATATACATACATAGAGAGAGAGAGAGAGAGAGAGAGATAGAGAGAGAAAGAGAGAGAGAGAGAGAGAGAAAGAGAGACCTTGCCCGCAGTCCTTGCGCAGGGGCCATGCTGGTCTTCTCTGCGCTGTTCCAATGCTAACGGATGATCCTTTGAGGGAAGCCGGAAGCCAGCCACGCTCTGGAGCCCAGCGCGGCCCGTATCTTGAGCAGGGACCGACCGTCCCGGCAGTCCTATAGTCTTACCACGACATGCTCTTAGAACCCAGAAGTGTTCGAATAACAGAAACCATATTCTTAGAACGTAAACCCGGTGCGTTAAAACAAGAACGCAAACCCAGCCAGACATATTCTAAGAACGTGCCGTGAAAACCACAAAAAGGTTCTTAGAACATTGTTTGGTGGGGCGATCAGCGAGCCGGGACGCTTCGCCACTGCTTGAGCATCTCGGCGTCTTGACCGCGGGGGCCTGGCCAGGATCGGAGCCGGGGGGTGGAGGAGGGGGAGGAGGAGGGGGAGGAGGAGGAGGAGGAGGAGGAGGAGGAGGAGGAGGAGGGGGAGGAGGAGGAGGAGGAGGAGGAGGAGGAGGAGGAGGAGGAGGAGGAGGGGGAGGTGGAGGAGGAGGAGGAGGAGGCATAGCCGGTGCTCGCCGCTCCTGCGCTGCGGGGGGGGGATCTCGTCGGGGCGCGCGCGGCGCCGCTCGCGGGCGCGCGGGCGGGCCGCACGGGGCCCCAGGGAACGCGGGCACGCTGGGCCTTGGTCGGGCACGTCCTCCCAGGGGCGGGTTTTGGACGACAGATGAAGAATAGTCAACACATGTTCGAAACGAATCAGAACGATAATTAGTCGAAACATTGTCCCCAGACTATTGCTTGACTGTTTTGAACATTCCTCCTGTAGAGGGAGATGCCCGACTGAACGCCAGACCAAAATATCCAACATCCCTCGAAACCAACCTGCAGCGCAACAAATAACTGCAATGCAACATTTCCGCAATGAGCCCGGACCTGGGCCCCAAAAGCTGGCAAAACTACCACTAGACCCAGGACATATCCATATCCTGCAGTGCAGCACAACGACAACAACAACAACGACAGCAACAACAACAACCACAACAACAACAACCACAACAACAACAACATGATTGAGGCCGGCATGGCCCTCCCGGGGTGCGGGAGCGGATCCGCCGGTTCCACCACAGTAGAGGAGGCCGGCACTGCCCCCCCGGTCAGTCCGAAGGGGGGGGGGGCGAACAACACAACACAACATCCTAGGAAATCCTTAGGGAATCTTTTAGAATCCGTAGGGAATCCTTAAGAAGCCGGAGGGAATCCTTAGGGTATCCATAAGAATCCCTCGGGAATCTCTGAGGAATCCTTAGGGGATCTTGAAGGAATCCGTAGGAATCCTTAGGGAATCCTTGGGGAATCTTTAAGGAATCCTTAAAGAATCCCTCGGGGATCCTTAGGGAATCCCTCGGGGATCCTCAGAGAATCCTTAAGGGATCCTCAAGAATCCCTAGGGGATCCTAAAGGGATCCTTACGGAATCCTTAAGAATCTTTCTTCAGGAATCCTTCAGAATCCCTAAGGAACCCTTAAGAATCCTCAGGGAATCCCTACTGAATCCTTAAGAATGCCTAGGGAATCCTCAGGGAATCCGTAAGAATCCCTTAGGAATCCTTCAGAACCCATAAGGAATCCTGAAGACTCCCTGGGGAATCCCTAGGGACTCCCTAAGCATCCCTGAAGAATCTTAAGAATCCGTAAGGAATCCGTAAGAATCCCTCAGGAATCCTCAAGAATCCCTAAGGAATCCTATAGAATCCATCGGGAATCCTTCAGAATTCCTAAGGAATCCATGGGGAACCCTTACGAATCCATTAGGAATCCTTACGAATCCCAAAGGAATCCTTATGAATCCCTAGGACATCCCGAAGGGATCCTTAAGACTCCCTAGGGAATCCTTGAGAATCCCAAAGGAATCCTTAAGATTTCTTTGGGAATCCCTGAGAATCGTGAAAGAATCCTTTGGGAATCCTTAAGGATCCCTCGGGGATCCTCCGGGAATCCTCAGGGAATCCATTGGAATCCGTAAAGAATCCCTAAGGGATCCTTAAGAACCCGTGGGGCATCCGTCAGAATCCTGAAGGAATCCTTCGGGAATCCTGAAGAATCCCTAGGGCCCCCTCAGGGAATCCTTAAGAATCCCGAAGAACCCTTAGGAATCCTCCAGGAATTTGCAGGGAATCCTTAAGAATCCTTCGGGAATACGAAGGGCATCCTTAAGAATCCGGAGGGAATCCTTAAGAATCCTTAGGGAATCCTTGAGAATCCCGGAGGAATCCTTAGGGTATCCTGTAGAATCCCTAGGGGATCCTAAAGGGATCCTTACGGAATCCTTGAGAATCTTTCTTCAGGAATCCTTCAGAATCCCTAAGGAACCCTGAAGAATCCTCAAGGAATCCCTACTGAATCCTTAAGAATCCTAGGGAATCCTCAGGGAATCCGTAAGAATCCCTTAGGAATCCTTAAGAACCCTTAGGGAATCCTGAAGACTCCCTGGGGAATCCCTAGGGACTCCCTAAGCATCCCTGAATCTTAAGAGTCCATAAGGAATCCGTAAGAATCCTTTAGGAATCCTAAAGAATCCCTAAGGGATCCCTGGGGAACCCTTACGAATCCATTCGGAATCCTTACGAATCCCAAAAGGAATCCTTAAGAATCCCTAGGACATCCCGAAGGGATCCTTAAGAACCCCTAGGGCATCCTTGAGAATCCCGAAGGAATCCTTAAGATTTCCTTGGGAGTCCCTGGGGAATCGTTAAGGAATCGTTTGGGAATCCTTAAGG